GAACTTGTCTGGAGATTTTTCCATCTACAGATTTTCCCTGACCTTCTTTTCTCTGTAAATTAAGGGTGCACACTATTGCTGAAAAACACAATCCCTACTTAGCAGTCAGATGTCCGTATGCACAAAGGCACAGATCCCTAAACAAGACCATATCTGCAGATGAAACTTTGTTTGTAGAAGCATTTTTAAATTTGGAACTAGCACCTCATGACTACACCACATTATGCAAAAGACACAGGCACAAGTGGAATGTAAAAAAAACATGGTGACATTAATTTTTAAGTAAATATAATGTGCGATATATTGCATCACCAAAAATTATTGAGGTCATGTACATATATTGCGCGATAAGTCGATATATTGATTATTGCGACAGGCTTAACAGTGGCATACTGACCTCTTGCCCTGGACGGATTTCCTGCACAGCCCGTACTTCAGCGTTGATTCCTTGGTATGTGACTATGACGTTGGGACAGCAGCTGTGGTTCAAGAGGGCAATGCTGAGACAGCAACAGAAACACAATAGGGAATGTGTGAGGCGGAAAAGTGTCAGAAAGAACCTCAGAGAGTTTAGAGAGCTAGTACAGGATAAAAAGAGAAAAGGGAAATATGAGACTATAAATGAGAAAAATATCCCCACTCAGACCTTCTGGGATATGTTTCTCTAAGAACACAAATGCTGGGTTGAAACTGTTGGGTAAGGAAGCTGGGTTTATTTGAGCCAATATAGACTGATACTAACAGCGCTACAGTTTGTTGTAACTGTGGACGTGAAAGAGAGAAAACGTGTTTGTACTCATTTAAACTAGAGTTGCTGGTATCTCTCAAATAAGTGCTCGTCATCTGTTGTTTTGGCATCTACAGTTTGTTGTTTTTCCGTCTTATCAGTTTCTTTTCGTGAGAGTGTTACCACCTTATTGACAAAGTAATTATCACCAAAAAATTCAAGGCACATGTGGGAGTATGCAAGGTAATGAAAATGTACAAATAAAAACACTGGCGCACATAAAGTACATGTGCTTATAACATGCTGTTTTGAAGTATTACCTTTTTTTAATGTCAGTTTGGTTGCTTGGATTATTCCTTAAATAAACCTCTGCAAATGGATTCCCAACATACTTATGTCTTACAGACAAATAGACACTTCTATTCCATTTATATTGTGTTGGAGTAAACATTTTATAAATTAACTCACTTCTGAGAATGCAATAAACTGTGTAGAATTTATGATTTGTTTGATTTTTCACTCTAAATCAAATTCCCATGCAACTTGAAACGTGGCCAATGAAGCATGGTCACTTCCTTTGAAATTTCAACTCATTGCAAGTTGAACCATTTCTCATTTTGCTCAACTATGGTGTGTAAAACCATCATTTCTCTTTTTTGCCTACTGTTTGTCATGGCTATTTGCTTGGCCAATGTCTTGCTTTCCTTCCTTTTCTTTTGCTGTGTTAGGCTCTAAGACCTACACAATCTAGCTCTTAACAATGCCCCAATATAATCATTAATAAACTTTCTGAATTACTTGATGTTTTGTTTTATCTTTCTTGTCCAGTGTATATTTTGTTAAAAATCTTTGTTGACACTTGACAGCCTTTTTGTTTTGTCAAAACAAATATGAACAGGAATTTCTAATGTAGATATGATGGGAAAATATAACACTGCGAGATATTTAACTGCACTAAAAAAATTTTCTTACAAGAGAAAAATGTGAAAATTATATAGTTAATTCAGCTACAATTATACTGTACTAATTTATACTGTAGATGCTGCAAGGCTCATGCAATACTGCATTTAAATGCAATACTGCACAGATATACAACCATCTTCAAGATTAACTCATCTCTAAAACCAAACAAAATTCATAAATGAGTATCTGTAAGTATCTGTGTTTGAAATAATCAATCCATCAACAATATCACTGATAATAACATCAATAATTAATAATTAATTTAATGACTAATATGGAGTGCTTTTTAAATATAAATTTACAACATGCTGAATTATGATCAGTAGGTGGCTGTTTTAAGCATAGTATTTACTTTTTCACATATCATTACTGGCTAAAATGATATGACATTGGTATCAGTTGCTGATAGAATATCTAGCAAAGGCCATTTTTGGACACAATCCATGCAAAGTGAATTACAGTCACTGATGTAAATAGCAGGACATTGTTTTTTGAGCGTTCAGGACTGCTCACAAACAGGCAGCCAACCATGTCCAAGAGAGGCTGGAAATAGACTTGGACTGTCTAATGTTCTAAATGAAAACACTCGCACACAAAGACAGCATGAAGTCTTGTGAGAGGAGCACGTCGTTATAGAGATTGTTCATGTGTTTGCTTGTGCTTACTCTGGAAAAACAGCTAAACCCAAGTTCGAGAGTTCCTCATCCTCCACAGTAAAGCCGTTACAGTGAATCTGTGTGAGGTAGACACAACACATCATGTATTATTGCTCCAAACAATCGTTTACTTTAACTGGACCATTAAGTGATTAATTGACCCTTTGCAGTGACCCCCTTTGGTTACTGTTGCTTGCGTAGGCATATTTCGCAGAATGCTCCAAGGAATTAATTTTGTCTGATTTTCACTACAATATGCCAATGAAGTGCCAACAACAGAATAGATTATTGACACTTTATGGGGGAATAGGTGGAATGATGTGTAATATTCCAAAAAGCATTTTTATGGTTTGTTGTTTTGGGCCCCATCTCATATCTGTACAGGAGTGAGCATGAGCATAGACTTGTCCTGGACATATTTAATCTACTCTAGTGCTCCAAACATAAAGAAGGACCATTTAGGCGTACACATCGTTATTTCATCAAATTGTGTTGTACTATTTAGAAGTACTGTTATTAAAATATTATTCAAAATCAAAATGGTTGTTGGATCCAGTAGCATGAATGCAAACTCATTAGGGCTAAAAAAAAAAAAAAGGTTACAAAGATCTATATAAGATCAATAAATATCTATACACAATATCATTACATACAATAATAAACTAAATTATATCCCATGTCTCCCCTAAATCAGAGGTTTTCAATCTTTTAAAAGTTGCTTTTGACCAATTTTTATTGTGAAAGGTGATTTGAAAATAAATGTGAATTATTAATTATTTTAAATTAGTAATATTTTCCAAATATATATTTTTTAGTGCTGTCAAACGATTAATCGCGATTAATCACATACAAAATAAAAGTTTTTGTTTGCGTAATATATGTGTGTTCTGTGTATATTTACTATGTATACATAAATACACACACATACAGTATATATTTCGAAAATATTTACATGTATTTACATCTATATTTATATTCATATAATTTATATTATAAATATATTATATTATTTACTTATATAAATAAATATATTTCATATATAAACATAACCTATTTTCTGAAATATACACATGGATGTGTGTGTATTTATATATACATAATAAATATACACAGCACACATATATTATGTAAACAAAAACTTTTATTTTGGATGCGATTAATCGTGATTAATCGTTTGACAGCACTACTTTTTTCATTAATTATTTTTAACACAATGACAATGTAAAGGCCAATTATCAATTAATTTTTTCTCCAATTTCATTTCATTGTCAGCTATAGATATCACACTATTTTTTCTCACATTTTAGAGGGATATTTCACCCAAAAATGAAAATTTGCTTTACACCCACAGCTCCTGATAATATACTGATAATATACTGATAATATACTTTCTGTTGCATGTTGGTTTATGCACAGCAGCAAAATCACACGTCAACTGATGCCATTTTTATGTACTAAAGCACTAAAGGATTGATTAGTAACGCAGTAAGGAAGGGCACAGCAAAGGGTCAGCTGTCAAAACTTCTTTTGCAGTGTGTTTACCTGTGAGAAAAGTGTGAGCAGGGCCTGATGATCAGGGAAGTCCAGGTGTTTGGAGTAGAAGTGATGGAGGCCAGCTATATGTGCTTCATTCATCTCTCTTTTCTCATTATCCATATCCTCCATGTCTGTGAGAAAATGAAGACATAATATCATTATCTAACAGCTGTACATGCATGTTTAAAGCTGACATAAAAATGGCATCTGCTCCTGTGATGTATTTCCAAGTGATAAGGATATTCAAAGAAGAGAAAAATAAATGTAACTACTGGGAGTTAGTTTAGATGGTAAAAAAAGCACAAAGGCAAAAGGCAACTGACAATAATTGATCCAAAAATAAAATTCAACCAATTTTTGGATTATTGTAAAAACCTATGATCATATGAAAATATGAATAATGAAAACTGAAAAAAAATAAATAAATACTGTGTAATACAGAGGAAACAGGCTCAAATTTAAAGCAAAATAATATAACCAAAAAACTCTGAGCGCTAAAATTGAAAGATAATCAAATCATTAGACTTTATACTTAAAGGAACTATGACCTGATATAATATAAAATGAAATGAAAGTAAATTTAACACTATATTTTAATCAGACACATTGAAATTATTCTACAGGTGTTAATCAAGGACTGACAACAAAAAAGAACAACCTTCAAGCCATTTCGCTGCCGTTGTACCTGCACTCACTCACATCGTTAACACATCCCTTCACACTGGTGTTTTTCCCTCAACATTTAAACAGGCTTGTATAACCCCCACTTCTTAAGAAACCCACTCTTAACCCCACTCTTTTAGAGAACTACAGACCGGTTTCCCTTCTAACTTTCATTGCAAAAACACTTGAACGAGTTGTGTTCAACCAAGTCTCACCCTTTCTCACACAGAACAACCTCCTGGACAGCAACCAATCTGGCTTCAGAAGTGGACATTCGACCGACTGCCTTGCTCTCAGTTGTTGAAGCCCAAAGACTGGCAAGAGCGGCTTCCAAATCTTCTATACTTATTTTGCTGGATCTGTCTGCTGCTTTTGATACGGTGAACCACCAGATTCTCCTGTCAACCCTATTGGAAAATGGCATCTCAGGAACCACACGCCAGTGGTGTACCAAGGTATCTTGGAGAGGGGAGGTTTCCAAGTCGCAACATTTAGCTACCGGGGTGCCTCAGGGCTCAGTTCTTGGACCACTTCTCTTCTCTGTCTACATGGCATCACTAGGTTCTGTCATTCAGAAACATGGATTTTCATATCACTGCTATGCTGATGACACTCAACTCAATTTAATGAAATAATAGCCTTTTGAAGTTTAATAATTACATTAGGCCACCAACACCCCGTATCGTGATTCCTGTTTACCATCTCCAAATTTAAGAACTAAACTAAAGAGTGGTAGTTAAGACTTGTGTTGTACCATTTAAAATACTTTTTATGAGCTTAAATTTGATCAAAATAAAAATAATAAAATAAAAGCACTGCACATACCATCACAAAAGGGCACTTCTAGATAACAAGACTTGATATGTGAAAGCCCATTTGACAAAATAAATTAAAAATACATAACACAACACAGCATGCCCTCTCTGTCAGATGCGTTAATTGATTTCTGGTACTTACGGCCTTCCATATCCCTCAGTAAGAGCAGTTTTTCTGATGGGCTTCTCTCTCTCTGGTGTCTCTGCATCAGTAAATACGCGTCAAACACTTCATTCTGTATCTACAAAGAGAGTGATAAAATGGTGCTTGTATCTGACCAGCCTGGCGATGATTCTGGCCACCAGTCGCACCGTCTCTGAGGGGCACCAGTTCTCTCCAAACACACACATGGCATGACACTCCAGCTTGTGCATGGGCCAGTTCTTTTTCTGTCAAATACACACAAAGATGACACCTGAAACACTCATTAATGCATATACACGATACACAGCATGAATGTCTAACTCTGCAGGACAGTGGACCTCCAGGACTGGAGTTGCCCATCCCTGGTCTATGCTATAATGCATTATATTCCACAAAATCTAAAGTTATCTAAAAATCAGTAACCATTCTTTCCTAAAACAATGGATGTCTTTTAATGATTATCATATTCTGCAATCTCTCAAGACATAAAATAAGCATCTTATCTCTGTGTTGCATTATTACCTTAATTGATAACATATAGACATACCAGTTTGCAATATCAAGCAGCAAAACAAGCTGTTTTGTACAGCTAAAAATAGCTGGAAGCAGATGATTTAAATTTAATTTAATTTTCATAAAATTTACAAATATTCTTACCCACTCTTACCAGAAAAATAAGGTGGATATGTCAGGACAGATCTGTGCATTAAGTCTAGGAGTGTAAATGCCCCTGCCCCTTGTTCTTAGTAATGTGTTTCTTTGTTCTTCAAAAAAAATAAAAAAGAAAGAAAGAAAGAAAAATTAAAAATTAATTACATTTAAATATAATTTTCCAAATTCAAAGACAATTCCAAATTGTATTTTTACAACATTTATTTCAAAAATAAATAAATCAAGAGCAAATGCAAAAATATTGTAAAAAAATTTTGGAAAAAATCGGGGCTATGTCTTTAAATTAAATTTAATTTTCATAAAATTTACAAATATTCTTACCCACTCTTACCAGAAAAATAAGGTGGATATGTCAGGACAGATCTGTGCATTAAGTCTAGGAGTGTAAATGCCCCTGCCCCTTGTTCTTAGTAATGTGTTTCTTTGTTCTTCAAAAAAAATAAAAAAGAAAGAAAGAAAGAAAAATCAGCCTTTCCCCAGGAAACGTCTAAATTTCACACAGTCGTAATGCTGCAATTGAAGGATTTCGACATACTAACTAAAGTTGAAAAAGTGAAAAAGCATAATAGGACCCCTTTAAGTAGATTTGTTTTACTTTTTATCAAGGTTTCCCCCCCCCTCAATTTCTGATTGTGACACTGTTGTCTATGGGGAAAAAAAAAAGTAAGAATAGCGAGGTGTAAATTCGAATTCTGGAAAAAAAAAATTGAATCATGAGATATACACTCAGAATTGCAAGATGTAAACTCAGAACTGTGAGAAATAACTCACCCTTTTTGAGAAAATAAGTCTGCATTGTGAGATTAAATGTCACAATTACCTCTTTTTTTTTATCCCGTGGAAAAAACAAGCTTCCAAAGCTGTCAGATACCCTTTTACTTCACGTATGTCTTTCTTCCAGAGTTCTTATTAGTCCTTTTGCTTGCAATTTGTTTCTTTGTTCTTTATATCACTGTTAGTATATGATTGTGTGTGTGTGTGTGTGTGTGTGTGTTTTACCTGACAGTTCACATTGCAGTAGAATGCTTTTTTGCACTTTCCACATTTTGCAAGACCCTTTTTCCTGTACATGAAGGAGAAAACACAACCACCAATGTTCATTAAAACTCTTAATGATAAAAAATAAATGTGTGTGTGTGTGTGTGTGTGTGTGAGAGTGTGAAAGAACAAGCAATATTTTCATGTGACAGTAAGCATGTTTCATGTGTAAATTGCTGCAAGTTTTGTCTACATGAAAATATAACTTGTTTGTCGGCATGCATTAATTCACTATATTTTCAAAGTGGCTTGTGGTTCATTTACAACTGAGACTAGAACAGAATGTGATAGAGCAGCTATTAGATTCTAAAGCAGCAATCTCTCTTCGGCAGCTGTGCTGTCGCCACACAGGGCCAGAGCAAATGTCCTGAGTTTGGGCAGCTGCTTCTGAACATTCTGCTGTATTTTTAGATGTGGGGTCATTCTACAGAAACGTCCACTTTTGGTATGGCAAGATGTCTTAAAATGTATTTCTTTTTTTAACATTTAAACTTACACCACATTATTATATTACCTTTTGACTTTATGAACACATAAATGACAGCTTAATTTTTTTTATTTTTTTTTTTTATCTTTTTTTGTGCATGTATTTAAAAGACCACATGTACCATTTTTTTGTCACTGGTGTTACCTTACTTCTTTGGCAATTTTAAAGGTTTTTATGCAATATTATTTCTCGATTTTTTTTAGTACATGTAGTCAGAGTTACAGAAAAACTTTTGTTAAAAGTGTGATTGAATGATGTAAGTTCATTTGCGCAACCATGTATTTGCTATAACAATGAAAATACTTGAAAAAAAAAACTGTTATAAACAAGTAATGATGCAATCCTTTAAATCTTAACTCTTTGAGTGTAGCAGAATTCAATGGATGTAACATTATTATCATGTCACATGTAACACATTTTATTTAATGTGACAGAAAAAGAGTAACACCAGTGACACAATGAAACACCAGTGACATACATAAGACCAAAGATCCTTATTTTTCAACTATAATTAAGTAGATAAGACTAAATGTTACATTTGGCATACACTTGGCAATTAGAGAAAGCAGTTAGTTAAAGAACATAAACATAAACTGATCTTCACTGTGTTACCCATAACATAACCAGTGACAGTAACACCAGTGACAATTTTCATGAAAAATGCATTTTACAAAATGTCTGCTGCAAGGTATCAAACCACATGTCGTCAATCATACTCACTACATTGAGTAGTTTAATCCATTTGTATTCTAGTTTTTTACAATTCCCTAACAATAAAGTAGGTCATACCAGTGACTTCCACTAAAAGCTTCATATGAAATCATGAGATAAATGAGAAAATTTCTGATAACTGAAAAGAGACAGTGGACTTAACATGGGCCTTTTTTCATAGATCTTCAGGAAATAGGAAGAAGGAAGTCAAGTGATGTCATCAGTGTGATTTTTATTTCAAAATAAGTTAAACGGTAACACCAGTGACAACTCCAGGGGACCACTACTTTCAGTATATATTTTATAATATTTAGTTGTCATTTTGTTGATGTCATTTACATAATATATATGATAGTTATGAATACATCATTGTATTTTAAATGGTAGAAAAACCTGTTTTTGACCTCAAAATAAATCACTTTCCCTCTGTACATGGCTGTGGGGGCGAGCAGTTTTGTGGTGCTTTGGAATTCTATATAATTAATTAAAAACAAATATTGCCACATTGATGGCTCAATAAGGTGTAATTGTTCAAATAACACATTGTTTTATTTTAAAATATATAAAAAAAATTGTAACCCTAAAGTGTTTTTCAAGTGTAATATTTCTGTAAAGGCTAGGGACAGAAAAAACATGGACATTTCCATAGAATGACCCTGTGCCCTTTTGGAGCTCATCTGCTGGTCATGACAGAAAAGAGAGATAAATCTAAAAGTAGAGAAGGGCTTGTTTATATTGTTTAGCGCTGTCTTTTCTGTTTTTATACTGTATATCAAAAAAACTTTAGACCATGCCTTCTTTCACACTAAAATCAAAAAGAAAAACTAACCGATAAGTTTAGTTCAATTCAAACAACACACTCTCTCACTCAAAGAAATCTCAAAGCTTGCAGCTCTACACAAGCGGTCATTCATTCAGCTTGACCAGAACGCTCGAATAAAACAATAACATTTTCTAATTAAGCTGCAGAAATGCATTAATGCTAACAAATGAGAACGTACACTTTTTTTATTTTATTTAGCGATACATAATTTGTTACTCAACAATATTCATAATAACACAATAGCCTAAACCATTAACAATATGTGCCAACATGTCCAAAAAAAAAAAAAAAAAGAAGAAGAAAAGTCAGACCTTGTAAAGCACTGTTCACAGATGAATCCTCTCTCGTTGACAGACAGTACGTATGAATAAGCTGGACACGAGAACAGCAATTCACCGACTCCATACGCTCTGCTCACCCGCAGACCTCTGCCCTTCCCTGGGCTGTCAAACTGCTCAATGCCCGCGATGCCCTCCGACTCCATCATGACACACTAACCTAGCTCTTAACGCTAGTCCGCACCGGTGTTCAGAGTTTTGAGGTTTCTGAGATTTTTGATATAAATGGGTGGAGCATATGAATATTTATGAGTTTCCCCCAACATGCGCGTGGAATTTTTTCCCCACGCCTGAGTCTCAGAATTTATTTCGGGAAGGTAATGAATTTATTAAATATAATTTTTATTAGAAAGTAATCAAGTTTAAGCGTCACGTATGCCTAAATTACAAATCGTAACACTTAGTTGTATAGTTTGTAATGCTGTTTAAGTATGCATGCTGCGTCTTGCAAGTCAAGCACAAAACGGTTTTTCGCGGATCAAGTGACACGCATGGCTTCTTTTTGAGTCTGCCTTTTTTTAGAATATCTCTCCACTGTTTTTGTCTTGCACGAATCCACCTATAAATATAGCATGCCACACGTAACTCTTCAAATAGATCAAGTTGTATGCACCTGGTACATCTATTACTTTGCAACGGTAAGTTTTATAGGCCTATGTAATAGCGGGGTTAAGTTAGTTTTGTTTTTGATATTCCTGACACATTCAGCGATAAACGGCAATAACTCCAAAACGACTTGCCCTAAAAAAAATCTAAACAGCATTACCAACTAAAGGGCTGAGCTGATAATATCTCACAACCTTCTTTTTAATTATTTTCCAACAACAATAATAATCTAACAGTATGGTGTCACAATATGAACGAGATGGACAAGTCGAGTGCAAGGCAATTGAGTTTATTTTATTGCGATAGGCAGAATTAGCCAGAACATAAAGGTCCGGTTTCACAAACGGGGCTTAGCTTAAGCCAGGACTAGGCCTTAGTTAAATTAATATATTTAAGCAACTTTTACACAAATGTCTTAGAAGAAAACATTACAGGTGTGCATCTTGACACAGAACAATGACACTGACATATTTTAAGATATGTCAGGGCAAGATATTTTCAGCTGAGACAGCTCAAACATGCATTTTAGTCTGGGACTAGCTTAAGCCTTGTCTGTGAAAATGGGGGAAACAGTCACTGGAACCTCACTTAACTGAAGTCAACAACTCTTAATTCAGTATCTCCTCCAGAATAGTCTAAATGAAACTTAAAAGTCCAAGCAGGTAAATCCAGCAGGCAAACCAGCAGGTCAGTATAACAGATAAGTGCAGCACATAAAGATGAGGATTCAGTAGGTAAGGAAGGCGCCACAGAGAAGCTTGCAACCTCGAGACCAGCCGAGTGAATGAGCTGAATGTCATTATAAGCAGTGCAGGTAAGTGATTGCAGGTGGGGCTAATTAGAAGTCAGGTGATTCTGATCTACGAGGCTGGCGCGGCTGTTGATTTTGAGACATATAAATTCAATATATTTATTACCTACTTAATGGAGAAGAAAAGAGAAGTATTCTCAGCTTGTCAGAGCTGCTCACACTTAAATGGGATCAAAAAACTAAAAATAGGAAAGAACATGTTTGTTTGGAAACCATTTACAATTTTAAAGATAAACCTGTATTTAAATTTAAGAATGAAATCATTTACCTGTTGGGATTGTGTTGACACTCTGTGTAGTTGGATTGCTGAGCTCCAGAAAATCAGTAATGAGGTGCTTTGACAGTTACAGATTTGAAAAACGAAAGGTCTGGAATAAAGAACCCTAAATTCTAACACCAAGAACCATTTCAGCATAAAAGTGTTCCTCGGGATGCTTAGGTGCTAAATAGAAACATTACTACTCCCAGGTCTGTGTGGATTAATTCACATTTATTTTTATAGCTCTTTTCACAATACATATTATTTCAAAGCAGTTTAACAGGAAATGCATTAAAAGATTTTAAAGAAGTGTGGAGTACTGGGCTGTGCTGCCATATTCTGTGGTAAATTTGCTTACAAGCAGTAAGGGTCTTACATGTTTACCAGAAAAAAAAAATCCTGTAATTCAACAAGGTTAAAGTGTGGCAGGACATGATTTGGAGGGAGGCCGTTTTTGAAAATAGGGCCTACCTTAAGTTTTTTTTTTTTTCAAGTGCCCTCAAGTCATGTCAACCCATGTTTTTTATTTATTGTATTATTATTATTATTACAATCATTTTGTGTGTGTGTGCAATGTGTTATACTGGTATTTCCTAAGTTATAGGGTCCAAATGTCCCCACAGGTATTACAATTTTGACTTTGTTGGGAAATTTTTTGTCCCTATGAGGAAACAAGCATAAAAATCATACAGATTTATATTTTCTGAAAATGTAAAAATTCAGAAAGTTTTGTGTGATGGGTAGGTTAATGTAATGTAGTGGGACAGAATATACAGTTTGGAATATATGCCTATTGAATATCCCCATAATACCTTAATACCCAATGTGTGTGTGTGTGTGTGTGTGTGTGTGTGTTAAAATTGACTTATACGCAACACCTTATTTCAAAATTGTATTTTCATTTTTATTCAGTGGATCCCAGTGGTATTGTACATATCTGGTGTATTTGAGAGAAAGCTCTCGGTGTTGACAATATTGATGATGACTAGGTAGATGAAGTTAAATCAATCAGAAATATATTGGCCCACGGTCCCTTACCGAAAGCTGCGCGAAGAGCGAGCTCTCCTGGCTTAATGCACATTGCGACGGCTTGTGCGGGGCAGTGCTTATTACATCGAGCGAAAATTATGAAAAAGAAGGCTGTGAAACATAATCAGCTTTGCCCTTTTGGCGGTCACATTGTTTCGATTTTTTTAGGGCAAGTCGTTTTGGAGTTATTGCCATTTATCTCTGAATGTGTCACGAATATCGAAAACAAAACTAACCTAACCCCGCTTATGCAATGCAACTAAATTTCCAGTACCTCCACACTTTGTTTCGGGCCTCTGTAGGTATTTCATTAAAGAGTTGTGTTCGCCTGTGCTTTTAATGAACTTGTATGAGAAGGTTTTAGGTTAAGAATTAGCACTTTAAAAAAAAAAAAAGTAATTAATTCTGCAGGCTTTTCAACTCAATGAATGCAATGTTAATATTAAAATGCCATTTAAGAATCAATATCAAGTTTAAGCAGCAAAACCCATTGGTTTTGGTTATTTTGCAATAATTTGCTCTTAGGCAAAACGCTTTGTCTTCAAGTTAATTTAATTAATTTATAAAAACTGTAACAAGTAACAATCCCGAAGCTTTTATTAGGCATTAAACATTTTGTTTTGTTTTTATGATTGAGGTGAAGAGTAAAAAAAAAATAAAAAGATAGGACCATAGAGCTACATGTCATTAAAACTTGCTTGTTGCTATTAAAACTTGGCCGTTGGCCTTTGAGGGGGCATGCAGAAGAGGTAACTATCTATATCTCTTCCTAGCATCTGACCTTTTATCTTGAAAGGCAAACTAAAATGTTATTTGGAGAAGAACCATATAGCCCCAAATGGTCAAAAGGACACACTCTCAGACCTCTAAATCTTGTTTAAAGTGTGTGAACTGCTTTGGGAAAACCGAAACATTTCCAACCCGCCCCCCCCCCCCCCCCCCCCCCCCCATGGCAGCATGTTCTCCTCATAGGCTCCGTTTTTGTTAAACATTACGGTTGCTGATCTTCCAATGATTGTGAAATGACAATTCAACCATTCATCTTTTGTATTATCTATTTTATCGAAGAATGACTTTAATTTGTTGACGTGCTTGCTCTTTAACATATTCCAAGCAAGACGGCTTGTTTCTTTGAAGCAACCAGAGCATTTAGGCTACTTCACTCATCTCTAAGGACTTTCTTGGGTTGCTAGCTGTTTGCTTTTGGCAATAATAACTGCTTAGGTTGTGATGGTCTCAGCAGATTGGGTAGAGCTTGGTATCTGTTCCACCAAAGGAATATAAAAATATACAGGAGCAGATGTAAAGAAAGTCTGTCCAAAACAAAGTTTATACAACACTTAAGACTTGTAATGAAAAAAAAAAAAATCTTTAATTCTGGCAAACAATAAACAACCCCCCAAATATTACTTCTGCTTTAAAAACAGACATCCAAAAGAAATCAGCAGCCCATGGTGTTAATGGCTTTTCTGTACAGTGTCCACCTTTTTCCATTGAACTGTAAACGATCAGAAAATGCCAATGAACTTGCTCTTTGAATACAATAATATGCATTTTCATAAATTTCACATTCTCCTCAATCATCGAACATCTAAGTGAACAATTTTTGTACATCAGGCTGTGCTGTATTGTGAATGCAGTCTAGGCATTACACAAATCAGTCCTTACATATCAAGTCAAGTCAAGTCACCTTTATTTATATAGGCGCTTTTAACAATACAGATTGTGTCAAAGCAACTGAACAGCATTAATTAGGAAAATAGTGTGTCAATAATGCAAAAATCACTGATCACAAATTAGGCATTATAATGACACACAGTTACTGACATACTGCAGCATTACTGTCAGATCTTGATCTAAGTCTGTTTGCAAAGCCTGCAACAAACTAGTTTACCAAAAAAAATTCACAAGTGAATGAAAAAAAAAAAACTCAACTGAGAAATGCTCAAGTAGTTGAAAATGAACAGCCACTTTTCTAACATTAGGATGCTCTGGACGGTCATGTCAATTTTAGTCCAGTGATCCTAGCAAAGATCTGAGAGAAGCCTAAATGTCAGAGAGATATTTTACATATCTCAGCCTTTTTGCAACTTCAAGTCCTGTAATGTGAAAAGTGTTTTGACTGTAACTGACAACTTACAGCCAATGAAAAGTCATAGACCCGCAACAGAACATTAGCAAGTATGGCTTCAGTTTGGAAAAAAGGCTTACCCGATTCGCTTGGACATAAGAAATAAAAAAAGAAAATTCAGTGTAATGCCTATTTAAGGTTTCCTCTGAGCTGTACTGGGTCGAGAAAGAGAATAGCTGGAGGGAAATTTAAAGGTACTTTTATACATAGATGTGGATTATTGGTAGCAAAATGGTTACACTGTTGGTTTGATTGAGAATCATTGGTGTGCACCTGCCCAGTCTTCAGGACTTGTACAACTCCAGAGTGAAGAAACGGGCAGGTAACATCATCAGAGACCCCTCTCACCCCGGACACAACCTGTTTGCACTTCTCCCTTCAGGCAGACGCTACACTTGGACATAAGAACTAAAAAAAGAAAATTCAGTGTAATGCCTATTTAAGGTTTCCTCTGAGCTGTACTGGGTCGAGAAAGAGAATAGTTGGAGGGAAATTTAAAGGTACTTTTATACATAGATGTGGATTATTGGTAGCAAAATGGTTGCACTGTTGGTTTGATTGAGAATCATTGGTGTGCACCTGCCCAGTCTTCAGGACTTGTACAACTCCAGAGTGAAGAAACGGGCAGGTAACATCATCAAAGACCCCTCTCACCCCGGACACAACCTGTTTGCACTTCTCCCCTCAGGCAGACGCTACAGATCTCTGTGCACTAGAACATCTACGCATAAAAACTGTTTTTTCCCCCATGCCATCTCCAGCCTAAACGGCTAACATATGAATCATTTACCTGCGTTCTGTAATTAATTTCCATAATTCATTCTACATCCTTAATTATTGCCTCTTTCTCAAGTATTATGTAAATACATATGCATATCTCTTTATTTATACAGTTCTATATAGAGTAAATAATGCACAAATCTGTACATAAATCTACTGTTCCAGATTCATACACATTATTTATTGTTAAGTTTTTACTATTTAAATGTTTTGCATGTATGTATGTATGTATGTATGTATGTACCAGGAGCACCTTAAAAAAAACACAAATTCCTCGTGTGTTTGCACACACCTGGCAAATGAAGCTAATTCTGATTCTGATTGTGTAAACAAGGTTGATTTTATTTCACTGTTGTAAAACGCATTAGCAGTGTTGACCTTACAGTGTTAAAAAACAGTAAACTTATATCACTTTCTTTCAGAATCTGTACACTAATGCACGTTATACATAACTTTATACAGTTATTTTATGTACTCTATCAATTATTGAACGTTTGTTTTTTGAAACAAAGGTAATAAAAATAGCCTCTGTTGTTACATGCAATTGAAACAATGTCGTCGAATATATATGAAACTTTGATGGCCTGAAGGCATAATATCTACAAGACATTCTGTACCAAAAGTACCACAACAGAGCCACATCTTTTTTTAGTAAATGCACTTTAAAAAAATTAAATAAAAGGAAAAAATGTCCTTAAAAGGCAATGCAGTAAAAGGTGTCAAGAGAATCTCTCCCTCACACACAAAATATTTTTCTGTAAAGCTGAGTGCTATAACATACATTTGACATCTGAGTGTTCTCCACTACAAAAATACTAGTCCAACATTCCTACAATACTAAATGTGTTCCTCTTGTGAAGGAATGCAACCTGCCGGCGAGACAAAATAGTCACGCAGAAGGTTTCGTTGCATTTCTGCCGTAGCCAATGCATTGTGTTCCTCTCTTTGCTCGAGCGGCTGGCAAGTCCCATGCCCTCGATTCCTCCAGGTTCCCTCAACTATGCTGTGGTCCCCATTCTTCAAATCTGCAAATGCTGGAGGAGTATATGCCTCGGACCTGCGCTCGCGGAGAAAGTTATGGATGCATAGAGAGGCCATAGTGATCTTCTCCACTTTGTCTGCCTCCAAGAATATGGTGCTCCTGAAAACCCTTAACCTGTTAGCTAGAATGCTGAATGCATTTTCTGCAACTCTACGTGCCCTTGAAAGACGATAGTTCAGTACCCCCTGACTGTGGTCCATCTGTTTATTTGGGTATGGCTTCATGAGATCAGGCCTTAAAGGATGCGCCTCATCACCCACAAACATGTACGGCATTGTTATGTCACTGTTGGGCAATGGTTCAGGTGGAGGAAGATTCAGCAGACCCTGATCCATCGCTTTACACAAGTCAGAATGAGCGAATAGTCCAGCATCAGAGACCTTATCTTGGGTTTCCAAACTGGCACAGATGAACTTGTAATTTGCATCCACAGCAGCCATTATTGTCACATATAATCGGCCCTTGTTATTATGGTCAAGGCAGCCACTTTTTACTGGAGGCTGTATATAAATCTGTTTTCCACCAAGCGCACCTAGGCAATGTGGAAATTGCCATTTCGATTCAAAGTCCTGGGCTATTGCCCGCCATTCTGTCTCTGTTGATGGTGTCTAGCAATAGAAAAGAAAAACAGTTAAGACAAAGATTTGTACACTGATTCTTATATACAGTATTTCTCACATGTGATTAAAAAATGCAGTACTGTGAATATGAATTCATGATTTGACAATTTTTGTCAAGGTAACGACATCCATAACATTGTATTTTGAATAAAGAATGACAAAGCCAGTATATTATATTATGCACAATGTATAGATACCTCTTGCCTGTGACAGAATTATGAAGTTGGAAATTTGTTATTAATATATGCTAAACAATGCATATGAAACATTTTATTCATCCCATCCCAAAGTCTTTTAAATCCTTTTCTTTTTGTGGTTTAATATATTTAGTTATATCTTTATTTTATTTTCCCCTTAAGTTCATGCTTCTCTTCACCCAGTTAATGTTCTGCATTAGCTATTTTACTACACAAGTATACATGCGTAGTAAATACTGTAAATATCTGACCATCTTGCGAAAAACGTTAATTTTATATGACTTTATAAGTTAATCATTTACATTAATAAACTGCACTTTACACTAATTTAATATTTATTTTAGGCTATAATACTTTAGACTATTTTAGTAAGGATAATTATAAAGATAAAATTAGTGGTTTTCATTGGGACATTATTAGTGTTTCTGAATGAATTGTTTCATTTTGTTAAAGAGTCACTGTTTTGAGCAAATGCTTTAATGAGTCACTAATAACATAAAACAGATGCTCATTTATTGCCATTGACTGGTGTAGACCTACAGAAATAGAGTCAAAGATTTACTGACATGATTGTCGAGCACTTACAGTATTTATGTTGCTTTAAATAGTATATTATTATGTTCATACATATTCTTTTAACATATAATAAAAAAATATTCAAACTTCATTTAGATGCGGTCTACACATTGCATGTGCAATATAATATAGCCATATCGTAATGCCACACTGTCATCCTTGATTCAAAATAAAATGTTATTTATTAAAGTCGAGTCTTTGTTATTTATAATTTCAATTTCTGATAATCCCAGGTTGCTATGATTGTTTACACATTAAAAGTTGTTCCCTCAACATACGATCTTGAGGCCATGACTTCGCATTGCATGGTCACGATACATTATCACGTCCCAACAAGTTCAAATGTCGATGTCACAACAAAACTAAATAAAGCCAAAACATCCCTTGTGTATTAAAATTATTTAGTAGTTTATTACTGCAGCAGATGTTTATGGCGGAACTCATCTCACTGAAAAGCACCAAGTAATAAATGTGCACTGTGCTTGAGTAAATGGTGGTAATCAGAGCTTACCTTCAGGAAGTCTTTTTTCATAAGCTGGTACAGAGCGCCACAGGTCTCCATAACTATCTGTGAAATAGTGCTGGCCCCAATCCTGTACTGTGCACTGAGGGAACTGAATGTTTTGCCTGCATACGAAATAAATTACAAAATGCACACTCAAACAGACCCTTAAAATGGATAATAGTTAAAGCAGTAGCTATTCTGATATCGCCCTGGCAGACCCACCTGTTGCCAAAAACCGCAAGGTCACAGATAGGCGATCTCTTGGGGATATCGCCCGTCTCATTTTTGTGTGCTGCTTGGTAATGAGGGGCCCGACCAACCGCAGCAGAAACTCGAACTCCTCTGCTGTCATCCGCAGCAACTCCCCGAACCCATTCTCATCAGTCATCTATCAGAGATGCAAACATGTAAGGGGGGGGGAAGGTGAGAACATTGCATGGATCGGGGGCATGCTCCACATGGAATTTCTTTTAAAAGATATTTGCTTTACATGCTCATTTATAGTTAGTTTAAGGCAGGGGTGCCCAACCCTTCCTGCAGAGTTCAGCTCCAACCCTGATCAAATACAACTGAACCAACTAATTAGGATCTGAAGGAGCACTTGATAATTACAGACAGGTGTGTTTGATCAGGGTTGGAACTGAACTCTGCAGGAAGTTAGATCTCCAGGAACAGGGTTGGGCATTCTTTTTTTTCTGTCCAAAACTGTAATTTTTCACACACACAAAAAAAGTAACATCTTGTTGCAACATTTTACAAAAATCAAGATCGAATATATTTGGTCAAAATACCATGTTATAAAAAATGAAGTGCTATGCAGGCTATTTAAGACAATATTGGCTGATTACATTTAGCAGACACTTTTATCCAAAGCGACTTACAAATGAGGACAACAAAAGCAGTAAAAACTAACAAAAGAGCAACAATATATAAGTGCAAATGACAAGTCTCCGTTAGCCTAATGCAGTACACGTAGCAAGGTGTTAGAAAAAATAGAAAGCTAGTTTTTTTAAATAAAAAAAAGATGATAAATATAGATAAAGTAGAATTAAAATATAATAGAAAGTGCTACAGTTAGAGGGTCAAATAAAGGTGGAACAGATGTGTTTTTAGTCGTTTCTTGAAGATGGTTAAGGACTCAGCTGCTCGGATTGATTTGGGCAGGTCATTCCACCAGGAGGGAACAGTTAATGAAAAAGTCAGTGAAAGTGATTTTGTGCCACTTTGGGATGGCACAATAAAGCGACTCTCACTTGCAGAACGCAAGCTTCTAGAGGGCACATAAGTCTGAAGTAATGAATTTAGGTAAAGGGGTGCAGAGCCAGTGGTGGTTTTGTAGGCAAACATTAATGCCTTGAATTTAATGCGAGCAGCTACTAGCAGCCAGTGCAAATTGATGAACAGAGGTGTGACGTGCGTTCTTTTCGGCTCATTAAAGATTAATTGATTAGACGGCAATGCAGACCTAAAATGTTTGCCCTCACTCTCTTCACCGTTCCCACATCTCAGACCTCAAATACATAAAATCTACCTTTTCATAACTGAATTTAAAAAGTTATGACCGGTCTTGAAGAAAAAAAAAAAATAGATGACTAACGTTTTAAGACTAGTCTAAACAGTTTATGCAACCGCCCCCAGTTCTTTATTTACCCTCTTTCTATAGCTTGACAGGGCTATAGCCCCATCAGAATCTTGCTTAGCCCCGGCACAATTTACCATGTTTTCCTGCCAGTTGGCATTGAGAGTGACTGACACTTGATGGTCAGAAAAAATGACTAAATAGACTAAATAGTAGGGATGTAACGATTACCGGTTTGACGATAAATCGTGATAAATACCCCACGGTTAGTATTACCGTTTCATATTTTAATTATCACTATAACCGTATTCGATTACCGCGATTTGAACAACTGAGGATAAATAAATACTGTACTGCACAGGGCTCCAGTGTGCGACCAAATGGGCGCATTTTGTGAAAAAATTTTCTGCCGGTGCGACTATATTTTGTGTGCGGTCACACTGGCGCGACCACCGCATTGTTTAACTCATAAGCGCTGCATTTCTGTTGCATATGAGAAACATCAAACGGCAAACAAAACTGAAAGCATAACGAAACCGCGCTACTCGTTTGAACTGCGCAGCGCTTCGAGTGTAGAGCTTTAATACCACAGAAAAAATATATATAAAATTTGCCTTTTTCGAAGCTGCTGTATATAATAAAAAACACAAGGTGGCTGAATTTGCATGCTATTTAGATAGTTGAAGCTTATAGACGTTCATTACTTTCACTCAATTTAATTAGTTTTTTAGCACCCCCTCTGAACCGTTAAGCCCCTCCTTAGCACCCCCAACAAAAAAAGTCCTGGAGCCGCCACTGCCTCTTTCTCATTGGATCTAAGCAAATCTCATAAGTGACCCATTTTGATCTAAAAAAACTGAGTTGTCACTGAAAGGTGAGGAGTTTGCATCTATGATCTATGGCAAGCACAAACACAAACACATAGTTTCTACCTGAATAAATTTACACACACATAGACTTTTCAATTATTCGAAACAAAAACAAAGCAGACGAGCTTCAACGAGCCGCAGCAGGCAGCTACTTGCGTCCACTGCAAAATGATTTATTTACCTCCAACTCTCTCTGCAGAACAGACAACCCAGGCTGCTCGCGACGTCCCGGAAATTCTCTCTTCCATATTCGTTTCTTTTTCTTTTTCTGTTTCTGTTTTTCGCTGCAAATCAACGCACAGACAACTCGAAAAGCAAGCTGCTTGCTCACCGCCGCGTCAGGGTTCATTGTTTTCGAGAACTCCAGTCTCGCGCATGCTCTTACATCATTTCCTGCATCACTTCCCGTGTGCGTTCTTCTTCTTCTTGTTTAATGGCGAATAACTCCTTGGGAGCATTATCGCCACCTACTGTACTGGATGTCAAGTAAACTTACATAGGTGATGAGTCTAAAATTTGAGAAGGGGAAGGATTGAGAGAGAAAAAAATTGGTGGATGTTTCATATTCTCTCCAATCTATGGAGCACTCCGATCACATGCTCATGCTGGCGCTGCGTGTTCAGTTCCTCTAACACTCATAATTAGCTCTTCATGCCCCAGATTAGGTAGAATACTCCCATCCACACATATGTGACCACAAAACCAGTCTTAAATGTCAGTTTTTTTCAAAATTGAGATTTATACATCATTTGAAAGCTGAATAAATAAGCTTTCCACTGATGTGTGGTTTGTTAGGATAGGACAATATTCGGCCAAAATACAACTATTTGAAAATCTGGAATCTGAGAGTGCACTACATCCTAAACCTGATTCATATACAATATATTTAATTAGTGCTCTGTATACCTGTAATGCCTATTTTGAGTGGAAGCAGAAACAGGCTGTTTTAGTGCATGTTTCTTTAAATGCAAATGAGCTGCTGCTCCCCGCCCCCTTTTCCAGAATAGAGCTGTCTTTACAGCTTCTAACTTCTAAAAAAACATCTGTATGGTTTTGATTATCATATCTATTGTGCTGAAATCATGCATTTTAAAGCCATATTATTTTAAACTTCTGATATACGTTTTTCTGAGCGCACAAATCTGAAGCACACCACAGAAAGCGTGCTGTCACACATCATGTGTTCTCTTTCACACACACGTTTATGTTAAAAACAAGCATAAGTTACAAAACACAGTCGGTTATGTCTGTGAAGTTACACAGCTGGAAAAAAAATTGCATGCATATATTAGATCTGTGTATTAAGTGACAGCAGCATAATATCAAAGACTATAAAAATACAAAGACTGTTCACTCCTATACTTATGAATGGGAGAAACTGCAACGTGCAATATGGTGGGATAGTCCCACCTTCTAAATGAAAGAGCCAATCGTTGATTGGTAAAGTCATTGCGTCACTGCAGCGGCCGTTAGAAGCTCCGGTTCCCATAGAAACCGGAGGCTAGAGCAGCCGATGCGCATGCGCAGTCATGAGCGCGTTGGAACTATGCATGCGTATTGGCTAGTCTAGCCTGAAAAATAGGCTTTTTAAACGTTATTTGAGCATAAGAAACAACATTCATGGGGCAGTTCTGTCACGAATCCGGTCTATAAACTTCCGTTCACTCACCACCGGAGGTCTCACACTACACAGACTGTTACACATCACCCTGGACTACATTTCCCATGCGCCATTGCACTAATCACAAGCTCACCTGAAACCAATCACACACAGCTGCTACCAATAACACACACTATATAAATAAGTCTCACACCACCATTCAAGGCTGAGTATTGTTTAGCGTTTATCACTTTAATAGCTGATAGCTACTTTACGTAGCCTGCTCTAGTCTAGTCTAGTCTAGTCTAGTCTAGTCTAGTCCTGTCGTCTGACTCAAGCCCGTTTAGGATTGCTCTTTTGTCTTGCCTGTGCCATACCTGTTTGCTGTTGTTCGACCCTGCATGTGCTTTTGACTATGTTTATTAATAAAAGCTTGCACATGGATCCGCACACCTCTCGTCTCGTCAGCTCCGTAACAAGTTCATTTCAGATTTTGTTGCTGATTTGAAATATGTAATTATTGTGAGTTCAGCGAGCAGTTTTTGAGATTTCAGGATTCCCCCATTCATTTAGATAGGACTTGGTCTTGTTTGAGCTGTCAGGAAGCTTTACAAATATGGCGGCCGAGTGAACGGACTTTCCTTGAAAGGGACTTTGGTAATCTACAGAACCTATACTGTGGTCTGCTCTGTTAATATGACCCAAACAATAAAATAAAAGCAGAAAATCACTCACTGCTCTGGACTGAATAACATCTATAACTTTAATGAGAAGACGTTTCTTACTTGAATGCTGCTTTTAAATGCTCTAGCGTGAAGATTCAGTAAACATGGCAGATTGTGTGCGGCTCACTCAGGACAGGGTCTCTGCGAATACAGCAGTCTGTCAACAGTGGGCGGGGCTTGTAAAATGTGATGTCACATTTTATGGATTCTGAGAATGGCTTGTTCTGAGACACTGCTTATGATTTATGGGGATTTAAAAAAAAAGAAGCAGGTGCATTTTTATTTTTAATACATGATCCAAATTGGCCGGTATGCTTTCTCCAATGGTTGCGGACCTTGGCATCTTCCAATAATGAGACCTTCTCTATTTCAGTTTCCTTGTTTCCCCCTCAGCGTGCATGCGCACAACATCATGATAAAATGACATGATGTTACTTTGCTTCTAGTTTATAATTGAGCATTTAGCCAGGTAACATGACTTTAAGACTTTTAGAAAAAGTTAGAAAAAGTATTTAATGTGTTTAAAAATGCATTCATTTAGTGATACATGATTACATTTTGATATTTTTATTTGCCAGAATGGATCTGTCATAAATTACCAAAAGCTGAAAAGCATAGATATGTATAGGCAAAAGCCACATATGACAGCTCTAGGCATGTAAATACGTCAGCCATTTTGAACAAGGTCAACGTGTCACTCACAGTAAAAATCAGTGAGTTTTCCAAGATACCACAACATTGTGCAGCCTCTGATTGTAAAAAACGCCAAGAATTAAATTTCCAAAGAAATGGAATAACCTTTCACAGGTGCAGGGGCAGATCTAGAAAATAATTTTTAGGGTGGCAAAGGGGTGGCATGGGGTCTATGAGGGGTGGCAACACCAAAGCAAGCCCCCATGCATAGTTTTTGGGGATTTATGCTCTGACATACACAGTTGTGTTCACAGATATTGTATTACCATTAAGTAATCATCTATACTGTTAAAATAACAACCACTGAGCGTCTTAAAAACCCCTTTTGTGTGCAGAACTTCCTTCCAACATGTATTCAAATCTCAAGTTGACAGTTGGGTTGCTTCATTTTATTTTATTATGTAAAGTAGAGTATTATTAGTGAAAGAGATGGACTGAGCGAACGTGATTACCTCAATCTGATACAGCATTCATTTTTCAGCTCATGGGCAGTGCTAGGGAGGGGCTAGCAGGTGAAGAAAGACCAAATCACCCCCACAGCACCACAAAACATTTTTTTTTTTTTTTTTTGTTTGGAAACCAGCAAAGAAGCTTCCAGTCTGGATGGTTTGACCAATTTGACTGGCTGGAGTATTCTTTTGATAAGGATGCAGCATTTTTCTTTTCATGCAGACATTTTGCCGCTGCGGGTGGCAATGTTCACTATTTTCACTATTCAGTGTTCACTATTTCTGGATTCCAGAACTGGCGTAAAGCACAGCAGAGTTTCAAAGCACATAATGTTAGTGCTGCACATAAGTTTTCTATGGAGGCATGGTGTGAATTTAAACAGATGATGTAAGGTGGCTAAAAACACTGAACATTATTGATAAGGGACATTCTAAAGAGGTCGAAGAAAATCAGCACTGTAGGCTGTGGTGGAGTTTGTGCTATTCACGTCAGGGCATTGCTCAGTGTGGCCACAGAGAGTCAGCGAACAGGGGAAACTTTATCAAACTTCTCAATGTCATCGGCATGTTTGATCAAACTGTTGCTAAAAACAATCCATCAAATGCATCAAATGCTCCCCACGAAGTGCAAAATGAGATCATTGCTATTATGGCTGGTATGGTAAGGAAACAGTAGAAACAGTAATAGAGATGTAACGATTCACTCAACTCACGATTCGATTCACGATTATTATTATTATTTGTTTTTACAAAATGAGATTTAAGACAAATTATAAATTAAATGTGTCCTTTTATTATTGCTTGGACAAAATGCTGCACATTTCTTAGTGAAATTGAAATATAACACTATAATAATATACTAATATAGCACTTGCATATTACTGCCCTTTTGTTGGTTTTGATTGCTTCTATTGTCCTCATTTGTAAGTCGCTTTGGATAAAAGTGTCTGCTAAATGACAAAATTTAAATATAATGTAAATGTAAATAACAAAACTAAATTGAAATTTTAAAACAA